TATTAATTTCATTTGGTGACCCCTAGTTCTTTTATTGTGGGAATAAGTAAATAACTTTTCTATGTTCACTTTTTCCATACCAGTCATGATTTTATAGACTTCTTTCATATCCCCCCTTAGTCTCCTATTTTCTAAGCTGAAAAGTCCAAGTCTTTTAAATCTCTCTTCATATGGGACCCGTTCCAAAACCCTAATCATTTTCTGAGATGAGGTGATCACATCTGTACACAGTATTCAAGGTGTGGGTGTACCATGGTTTTATATAGAGGCAGTAAGATATTCTCTGTCTTATTCTCTATGCTTTTTTTAATGACTCCTAACATTCCATATGCTTTTTTCACTGCCGCTGCACACTGAGTGGATGTTTTCAGAGAACTATCGACAAAGACTCCAAGATCTCTCTCTTGAGTAGTTATAGCCAAATTAGTCCCCATCATATTGTATGTATAGTTGGGATTATTTTTTCCCAATGTGCATTACTTTACATTTAACAACATTACATTTCATTTGCCATTTTGTTGCCCAATCGCTTAGTTTGGTGAGATCTTTTTGAAGCTCTTCACAGTCTGCTTTGGTCTTAACTATCTTGAGCAGTTTGGAATCATCTGCAAAATTTGCCACCTCACTGTTCCTTTCTCTAGATCATTTAGGGTGGATCCCAGGACAGACCTTTGGGGGACCTCACTAGTTACTTTTCTTGGAAAACTTACCATTTATTCCTACCCTTTGTTTCCTGTCTTTTAACCAGTTATCAATCCACATGAGGAACTTCCCTCTTATCCCATGACAACTTACTTTACTCAAGGGCTTTTGGTAAGGGAACTAGTCAAAGGCTTTCTGGAAATCTAAGTATACTATATCCACTGGATTTCCCTTGCCCATGTTTGCTGACCTCCTCAAAGAACTCTAGCAGATTAGTAAGGCATGATTTCCCTTTACTCAAACCATGTTGACTTTCTCCCAACAAATTATATTCATTCATGTGTGTCTGAAACTATAGTGAAGAATAAAATTGTCAACTAATTTGCCCAGTACAGACATTAGACTTACTGGTATGTAATTGCCAGGATCACCTCTAGAGTTCTTTTTAAATATTGGTGTCATGTTAGCTATCTTCCAATCATTAGGTACGGAAGCCAATTTAAAGGATAGGTTACAAACCACAGTTAATAGTTCCGCAATTTCCCATTTGAGTTCTTTCAGAACTCTTGCGTGAATGCCATCTGGTCCCAGTGACTTGTTACTGTTAAGTTTATCAATTTGTTCCAAAACCTCCAATGACACCTCAATCTGGGACAATTCCTCAGATTTGTCACCTAAAAAGAATGGCTCAAGTTTGGAAATCTCCCCAATATCCTCAGCTGTGAAGACTGAAACAACGAATTAATTTAGCTTCTCCACTAAAGGATTATTTCTGTGTGATATTATTGCTTAGATGGTGCAAAAAGCACAAAAGATACTTAATAATGTGAAGGCAATTGACAAAGTTCCTAATCCTATTCTTCACAATACAGAAAGAAATAGTAATATTCTTTTTAACCTTGGATTTAAGACACTACCCTGACACTCTATTTTCTATTTTTCTCTTGGCTTATTTTTTACTCAGAATATCTACATTAGATCAAATATCTTTGTTCCTTTGGAGTTCATCTGCTCCTGCTGCTTGTTCACCACCTGAAATCATAATCATCTGTTTGTGACATCACAATTAGTTACTGAGAAGATGATTAGTATGTCACAAACAGATGATTATGATTTCAGATGGTGAATAAACAGCAGGAGCAGATGTACTTCTAAAGAACAAAAATCCTGATTTCATGCAAGAGTCCTTAGTAATAAAAGATTAAGGAAGAAAAACAATAGTAAATATCTTACACATACGTGGAACTGTTTATAAACATAATGTTTTCCATTATGCTCTGGCTCTTTAATTTTCACTTGGACAATATCCATAACCTGGAGACTTCTGTTTAACCTCTGAAACAGTGAAATACTTTTTCTACCAAAAAATGGTTTGTACCCTTTTTCTTCTTCTTTATGATGTACTAGAAGATTTTACCCATGTTGCTTGGGTCCTTAACTCAATTAATTTTTGTTATTTGGAAAATAAAATGAAAATGTGTATGCTTTATTTGAATCATTGCTCTGAGGTGCGGCTAGGGATGAGAAGTTCAGTACAAAGGATGTCCTGGGTAGAGAGGACTACCTCAGCCCTCTCTCACTGCAGCAGCTTGGTGCCAGGTGACAACTGCCTCTCTATGTCTGCTACAGCTCTAGCTGGCACATCCAGGGGAGGAGTGCATGTGCCCTAGCCGGAGCAGGTCCAGTTTGTTTGCCCACTGTGCTCCTCAGCCAAAGTGAGGAATGCAGCAAACTGTGCACTTTCCCCTCGCTCCCTGATGAAGGGGAACAGCCAGCAATGTCCGTGTATGAAGTGGGTGGAAGGTAGGAGGCTCAGTGCTGGGGCGTTTTGGATGAGGGGAGAGGTGCACCCCCAACCAGCTTCTTTCAGCTGCCTGGTGATTCTGTCTCTTTTCTGTATGGTTTTATGAGAAACAATCTCATTCCAGGCATAGCCCATTTTCCTGGCACAACCAAACTCTTACCTTGCTTTGAGTTCTGATAAGAGGAAGCTGTGTATCAAATTTAGCTCCTACCGTTCAGGAGGAGTTCTTGAACAGACAGACAGACAGACAAACTCTCTCAAATATATTGGAGATAAAGAACGCCTGATATAACGCTATCAGTTAAGAAGACGCAGAATTAAGAAGATAGCCACAACAGCTGGGAAGAGGGGGAAGAACTAGTTTTGGGGGACTCGTTCTGTGGGACACAGAAGGTGAAATAAGTGACTATTTTATAGGAAACACAGCAGAGAGTATTTTCCAGTGACAATCCACATAAGATATGCAGTTGGACAGCAACAGAATCTGTTGCTCACATGAAAACAATTTACTGTAGTTCCTTTAACAGACAACTTCACCTTGCTATCCTAGTTTTAGTCTATATGGTTCCAGAAGAAAACACTGCACATTGAGCAAACAAAGAGAAGGAACACCTATGTGCAAAAGAAAACTAAAATATAATCCACCAAAGACTCTGCATTTTTGCCAACTAGGTTCTCAGCTTGGCTCAGCTATTAGAGAATTGCTATCAAACTTAATGAGGGTAGAAAGGAAGTACACATAAGCATCTCAGGACCTACTTTAGATTCTGATAGTCCCCAGACAAGTTAGTTTTAGGAGGCCCATCATACACAATCCATGTCACACCACTGTGATGTAGAGTTCCATTTTCCTGCAATGTTTTGATGTTGTCTGATGCTGTAATATCACTACATAAATAAAATAAGTGGAGCCACCATGCCCAATATACTGGTGTTCTCTCTATCACTCTATTAAAATGGGGATTTGGGAATGAGGAAAATGATCCTTTTGTTCTCTTTAATCAATTTTTTAACTATTATTCTACCACCACATATTTAAAAATATGGTTCTGACATTGAAAAATAGAAATCATGTTCAAGAATAGCCTCTGTACATTCATACTTGTGGGGGGATGGCATTGAGCTGTGGAACTGTCAATGGCACATGTCACTGCTATTAAAAGTTGTGTCTGTTGCATGAGAAATCATGCATGAGGGACTTCATCACCCACTTCAGGAAAGGAAGTATACCTCTCCAACCACTTCAGTTTTTTCTCCCTAACTGCAAAGTCCTAGTTTATACAGAAATCCATGGTAAAGTGAAAGGTGTATAATGGGAATTACACAAAGGCCTTCAAAGCTCAAAGAAGACTGTTTAAAATTTTCCTCTACAATGTAACAGTCTGTGGCTGGTAATTGGTTCTCCTGGTATCTCTCCACATATGCTCCAAATAAGCCAACAGATTTTCGAAATGGCTTGGTCTTTTCCAGGTAAAAACAGAGTTCTTTGCATCTAGTGTACAGAGATCACTTAAAGAAGACAGTATCTTTCTATGTATCTATGTACGCCTAGTGCTCTCATCTCTGTAGTATCTCAGCAGAATGCAAGGGTCCATGGGTCTAGAACTCAGGCCTGTTCAGCTACCAAGTCAACTGACCTCTCCAAGCTGCTACCCAGCAGCAGCTGTAACCAACTTGTGCTCCTTTCCCCATGACCTACTGTGGACACCAGACCATGGGTTTAAATTATGCTAATGAAAGATTTCTCTCCCTCCAGTAAAAAGCAGCTGCAGAGAAGACATTACAATGGCACAATTGCAGTAGGACAGCTGTGCTGCTGTATGGTTCATAGTGAATACACAGCCTAAGTAAAATCCTAATGAAGACAAGGTGTGTTATCACATCAAGGTGCTAACAGATTGGTCTACCCCATAAACAGTCAGGAGCCTGGGCATAGCGCTCAATTCAAGACTGAGAGAGGCAAGGGGAAAAGCCTCTGGATATTGTGGCTGATTACAGGTAAAGGAAGAAAGGGCTTTCTGATGTTTTGCCTAAGGTTTGTGTAGCACAGTAAAACTGAGACTTGGGCATGCAAGTGTGTCTTTCCTGGCCTGGGGGAAAAGGCCAGCAGGCTACACAAGTAAACCCTGGAGACAACCTAAAGTTTACCTCAATCTAATACCATGAAATTACAACTACTTTGTCTTTGCTAGGATTCTATCTTGTGTTTATTACTATTCATGACCTAACTTGAGTTCAGAAAATATCTTTTTATCTAATGAAGACAATGCCAAACTGGATCTATAATTAATACATTTCAAAATGAGCATGAAAATCCACTCCTCAACTTTTGAACAAAGAACATCTCATTTTGTTCTTGCATAGCACACTACTATGTCTATTCTCGTAAGGCAGATACACCATAGAAAACTTTATAACTTTGGATTAAAAAAAGACTAATTAAAATGTCCATATTGACTGGAGAAATCCTTTTAGTTGTTTCAAATAATCAAATAGCTAAAGGGAAGTGCATTAAAGTTAAATATGAATATAATATATAAGAAGTAATACTCACTGTTACTTGTTGGCTCAGGAAACCCAACATTTTGGCCATTCCAACCTTTGTTTTCTCCTGGCTGGCACAGTTTAAAAAAAACAGAGAGAGAGAGAAAAATAAATAAATAGGTGCAGCACAAATATATTTTTACAGAAAGTATTAAAGAGGTTTGTAAAGAAACATTACAGCTTTAAAAGAATAGCTGTTTGAATTGACTAGAGCTAAACAAATACATGGAGAGGTCCTCTACAAATCTGCCCACACAGTTCTGTTTGAGCATTTTCATTTTCACCTAAAACAGGTTCTTCCAGTATTAGACCTCCCCCTGAATAAACATCACCAGCTACATGCCAAAAGATCAACAATAAAAAAGTGAACACCAGCCTACCTGGGACTAGGCTCAGATTAGCAAACATGTTTAACTTTAGTGTTGATATAGTGAGGGTCCTAGGATTTAGAGAGATATAAATGAACATTCAAGATGAAGTGGCCCATTAACACTATAGACATAAAGGAAAAGGGGGAATTAATGGGTAACAAACTTTTGTAATAAGACAAAAATCCAGTGTCTTTATTAAGACCGTGACATTTAGGGTACGTCTACACAGCAACATTATTTTGGAATAACTAGCATTATTTCAAAATAACTTAGTCCGCATCTACACAGCAGGCAGTTATTTCGAAATAATGTCGAAATGCTGTCAAGCTGGAGGACTTCTTACTCCAACAAGTACAAGGAGTAAGGGAAGTCAGAGGAAAAGAGCTCTATTTCAAAATAATTGCTGTGTAGACGCTCCCCTGCTCCCTGTGGAGATTGTGCTTAAAGCCGGTTCCACCCAGCACTGACTTCTGCTCCCCCCTGCCTGTCAGAGAAAGAGGCAGCAAGGGGGGAGGAGCGACTAATCGAGTCGCTACTCAACTATGCGATAAACATTTGCTTAGCGGATAGTCGACTAGTCGCTTACATCCCTAGTTGTAATATGGGATTATGGTATGGAAAAGGTTGAGAGTCGGTGTATTGTATAAGAGTGACTGACTGATGACAGAAAGAACAATGCATCTTCAAGCTGTATGATGAGATGTTTCCCCCCAGAATGCTGGATTTATTTAGCTTTTAGGCTTTTCCACACTACTGATTAAGTTGATGTAAGTTATGTTATATTTATGTATATTTGAAATAAAGCGCTATTCTGAAACATCCCTTACTCCTCATAGAATGAGGTTTACAGGGACATCAGAATAACGGGCTTGCTGTGAAGATGTGGGATAGCTCTTTCGGGATACTCTGGTATTCCAAAACAGCATTGCGGTGTAGATGTACGTTTTGTGGCCCAAGTTACCTAAGCTTTACTACTCTCCAGGAGAGACAAGGCTAGGCCTGACGTGATCTACTCCAAATGTCTGTCACATTAGGAATAATGTTATTACTAAACTCCTGTCACTGAAGAAAACAAGACTGTATAACGAGTTATATCATGCACGCTGGATTTCCTTTTTCCTCTGTTGTTAGCTCCTTCTCAATTTACACAGGTTGGACATACTACAAGCTTTTCAAAACAAATTTACCACACTGCTAATATAGGGCCTGACTGTTCCTTATAGGCAGAGAGTAGGATACTGGAGGTAACACGGAACTGCACTGACAACAGGATCACCAAGAGACAATGTGACTCACAGTGCCTGCACATGTAGCATGACTGCTGCCCCTTTACATGCAGCTTCTCTACTGCCCCCATCTCCTTAGCAAAGCTCTGCTGACACCTTTGGGGCACCAGGGGCCCTCAAGGCAGCAGAGAGGGAATCAACCACGTTTCCCTAAATGCAGGGACTATAAATCTCCCAGTCCAGACATCTACAATAGAAATTCACTACACTGAGCACTTGAGAGGAAACAATATCAAGTTACTGTCAGTGATTAGGATTTTTATACACTGTTTAGAACTAGATCTAGGAAGACTGAAAATTAAATTGAGAGGTTTCATAACCATGACATTCTCCTCACATAACTGTTTTCTATCAGAGCCCAGAGGAACCCAACCCTTGCCACCCACACACATATTTTTACCTTCCTTCTAGCCAAAGAGGAAGTGAGAGAGACCAAGCAATGCTGCTCCTTAACTAACTACCAAGGTGGTTAAATGCTAAGAAGTAGTTTCGCCCTGTCACAGGCTGATCAAACAGCCCCTGTAGCATTAACATACCTGACAAGAAAAGGACAGAGAAAGAACTAGGAAGTGAATCCAGTTCTTCTACATGGCAGTGCAGAGCACTGTCGTTAGCTCTCACAAGAGATGTTTTCCCCTCCCTTTTCCCCATTACTGTGTGTGGGACATTAGATAATGTGTTTTATTATCTTAAATACTCCCATTTTATAAAATCTGTGATGTAAAAAGAATGTGCTTAACATCCCTATCTTGAATGTACAGTGTCATATTTCCTTATTATGTCCAGAACAATAGCAGAATATTGCATTTCTTCTTTTTTCCTGATAATCTCAAGACATCTGCTTCTGAAGAATACATCATAAACCCATTTTCTAACAGAATGCATTAACCTGCAAGCAAAGAGCTAATAATTGTAGTATACCAAAACAGCAGTTCCATTCCTAGTTATGATTCCATAATGGTTTCCGCTCTAATCACCCTTTTTCACGCCTTTTAAAACTATCATCCTTTGGGCTGAATTCCAAGCCCCTTCTTGCCTAGTGGCTGAATTCTTCTGAGAAAATTTGAACAAAAATAGGCCAGACAATTTACAAGATGATTGAAATATATATATGTGTGTGTGTATATATACACACACACACACATTATTGAAAATAATTATTGAAAGCCATTTACAAGATCATTTATATATATATTCACATTATTGAAAACATGCTTGACCTTTTATTTATTTTTAACAGTACTTCAGCCAACATGGCAGGGACTTAAAAGCTGGAATTGGAAGAGAAATACCATTCGTTGTGGAGAAGTTTGAGTGCTCTAGTGAAAACTGGTTTTGATTTGAGAAAATTATAAGCCTTTGAAAACTGCATGCTGGGCATGCACAGTGTATTTTCCCTGGGGATTTTAGCTTAATTCACAGTACTCAACTAAGAAAGCTGCACTGCACACGTATACATATCTTGTTTAGCTCTGTAGTGAAAAGGATACTGAAGGGGTGTATGTGCTGAGCATAGAGCTCAAACTATGTAAGGGAAAACAGAAAGCAAGAGGAAGGAACAACCAGTGACCAGCAGCCTTCAGAGTCTTTTTAAGGCAAGGCCTCAACATCCTTTGGAAGGAGAGAGAGAAAGGTGAAGAGAAGAGAACTAAAAAGGGAAAGTGGAAGAAAGTAAGTCCTAGATGGAGGAACAGAGAATATACGGTTACAAGTCGGAATAAGAGAGAAGGTGAAACTGGGAGCCAGTTAAAGAACTTTAAAAAGGAACAGAACCTGTAAAGGTGAAATATACACTCAACAAAGAGGGAAATTCATGGGAGAAGACTATGGTAAGGAAACATATCCAAATTCACCAAAGGAAGGAGGAATGATGGAAGGAAAAAACTGTCCTATCTTTTCAACTTGGAAATGAAATTTGCTTATTGAAAGGGTCCCTTTAAATAGAGACTTTCCATATTATATCTAATTAAAGAAAGAACGTGTATATGCATTGAAATGATTTTACAAGATTATTTTTTCCACATTCTTACTTCTGAGTGATAGTATCAATGCATATGACTTCTTCAAGTAGAAATAAAACTTTATTTGCTGTGGCCCTACACCTCTCCAGAGTAGATTCTATTTATAACCATCAAAACTTCTGAATTCACTCTTTTTAGAAAAACGAATATTTTTATAAAATGACACTCTTAATATTAACCATATAATTCTGAATGAAAGTCAAACTCCATATAAACCCTTAAGGATTATATTTTGAAATACCACCACCGAAACTGCACCTGTGGAAATTGGCAGATGTGTAAACCAGTACCAGAGCATGAGATTACCCAATGCATATGGACAATTATGTTTGCAGGTACATTTTAAAAAATATATATAGTATAAATTACCACATCAGAAAATTTGACCAGATATGAACAAAAAGCACTTTTTAAAGAAAATTAATTAAATAAATTGTTTAACAGCATGGAGCTCTAAACTCAATTCAGGGCAGCTAATAATCTATTCTAGCTCCAGTACAACAAATTCTATTCTCTAACTCTTCAAGACAACTAAAATCCTGGTCTGAACAAGTGAAATATAATAACTTATTGTTCACTGGATAGGCTTTTGAAGTGCAATTGAAATATACAGGTGACATGAGACTGAAAAAGAATATTAGTCTCATGCTTCAATTACTTACTCTCAACACCACTGACCAACAGAAAACACAGATTATTTTTCTGTTCTTCCCCAGATTTAGGTAAATTCCTTCTCTAGCTGTGCTCAGGCAGTTGCGCTATCCAGCACATCAGGAAGATAGCACAGGGTAATTATGTGTACACCCAGCTTAAAGTGCTTTATGGGACACAACAGCTCTTCACTGTTCTGTACATGAGGGCTTGTCTACACTGGGAACTTCTGCACCACCAAAGTTACAGTAATGCAAGTCAGAATGATGTAAGCCACTTTTACAATAGTATAACAAGTCTACACTGGAGGTTTGCACTTTGATAGCCATTTCAAACAAGCTGTGGCAAAAGGCAGAGCTTTAGAAGTAGCTTTAGGCCAAATATGCCTCTGCCAATGAGCCTAGGACTAAATGCAGATCAGAAGGCTTAGTAGCATGTCACTGACTCATGAAGTTACAATACGCAGTCAACACAACTTCCTTTTAAGAAATAACCCTTTCTGGCTCCAAACAAAATTGCCATAACCATATTTTCTTGTCCAACAACCAGGTTGTCAAACAAACAAACAAACAAACAAACAAACAAACAAACAATAATAATAATAATAATACTTTTAGTTTATGTTGAAATGTAAGTTGGCATAAATAGACATTCCTTGAGCATATGCTTAGGCAACCCCAAGTAGGGATGTAAGGGAGTAGTTGACTGCCTAGGCTTATCTGGCAGTCGAGTCGATTACTCGCATTCCCAAGACCCTTGCTGCTTCTGTAGCTGGGGCAGTAAGGGTGTGCGGGGGAAGCCGGTGCTGGGGGAAGCCAGATTAAAAGCCAGTTCCCCCAGCACTATCTCTGTGGTGCTGCCTACCCCTGTTTGTGGGGAGCAGGATCCCAACTCCCCGCTGGGACTCTCCATGGACAGGGACTGCTACAGGCTGGGCAGGCAGCCCAGCTTAGTCCCGGCTTATGCTGGGTCCGGGACCAAATTGCACTGCGGCTCTGCAATTTAAAATGTAGTAGAGGCCAGACAGGCAGACAGCCCAGCTCAGTCCCTGCTTCCACTGAGTCCAGGACCAAATCCCGCTGCAGCTCTTCAATTTAAAATGCAGTAGGAGTCGGGGGGCAGGCTGCCATGTTCCTACTGCCTTTTAAATTACAGAGCTGCAAGCAGGGTTTGGTCCTAGACCCAGTGTGAGTCGGGACTGAGCTGGCTACCTATCAACTAATTGAGTAGTCAATAAAAATTCTATTGACCACTCTATTAGTTAAATACCCCCCTCTTAACATTCCTAACCACAAGAGCAAGGCCACACCATTACAAGTACTGTATCTGATTCAACCTAGATGCTCAGCTGAGCTATTAAATGAATCTGCAACATAGCTACTCTTTAGAGTAAATAAGCCAAAAGAATGAAAACTATTTCATACATGAAAGTTAATGATCTATACAAAACATGGAGCCCCAAAGAGGAAGAAATATCCTAACAGGGACATATAAAAGGAGTAAAGAGAAGCAATTTGGTAACATGAAATTCATGCACACGTACATACATATGCATGCTATGGTCCTGGGGCTGTATTCTGTCCCAAATTATATTTGCAGAGGCAGGGATTGCAGTTACCATCCAGTGAAGTCATGAAGTAGCAGCTAAGGGAAGAATATGATTACTGAGCAGTCAGTCACACAACTAAATTGGCTTTAGTGAGGCTGCATCAGTTCCTGCAAAATGATGAAGTTGTGAGACCTTCACGTTTTATGGAACTGGATTTTGGGGGACACAATGATTAGTTCTCACCTTTTCTGGCTGATCTTGAAGAGGGGTGGAGGCTTTATAACCAAGCTGTAGCAACATTGCTTCTGCTGCATTTCTTTTAGCTATTTTCTTGTTAGGGCCTGTGCCAGTAGTAATTTCACTGCCTATTTTTACCTTTTAAGAAAAATAAAAATATTGATCATAATCACTAATACATTCAGTAGCACGAGCTGATATTTTCCCACCCCTGCCCTACTGTGTCAGACCATATAGCCCAGTTTCCTGTTGTCCGACAGCTAGAGATGTTAACAGGTTAAGTGGTAAGCATGCTGATAAGCATGAGGCTTTCCAGTTAACTCTGTCTGTGCTGTGCTGTGCTGGCCAGACAGGAGGGACCTAGGTTAAAATGGTTAACCAGTAACTGTTTTAACATCCCCACCGAAAGTGGCAAGTGCCAAATGCTTCAGAGGAAATGAATGGAACAGGCAATAATTGAGTAATCCTTCCCATTGTCTACTCCCATCTTCTGGCAGTCAGAGACTAGGGACACCCAGAGCATGGGACTGCATTCCTGACCATCCTGGCTGCTAACCATGAACTTCTGTGTAGCGCTTCAAGTGCGGACACTGCTTATACTGACGGGAGAGTTATCTGGTTATCATAGGTAATCCACCTTCCCCTCCCTGAAAGGCTAGGTCCACAGAAGAAGGCTAGCAGTGTCTACATCAGTGATTGGGTTGGTATAACTATGCCTCTCAAGGGTGTGGATTCTTTTCACCCCAGAGAGACATAGCTATGCCAATTTAAGCAGACTTGCCCTGCAAATGTCTTGAGCCAGGGGAAATTAAATGGAGAACAGAAAGAGTACTGCATATTTTGGCAGAAGGAGGAGGGCAGACAATATTGGACTGGAAATCTTGGGATTGGGATGGAGATTGGGGGAATAAGAAATTTGGGCAGGACGCAATCCTCTCTTTCCAGCACTTATGCCTGTGCCCTTGAATGATCTTTCATCAACACATTTTCTGAAAAGTTGAGTTCTCACTGGGAGTATACAACATAAAGGATTTCCTGCCAACCAAGAAGCCCCGCATAGGAAAAGCAGTTAAAACTTCTAAATAAAAATGACATATTATTAGTAACAGAAAACCACAAAGAGAATATAATGCTGTAATTTAATCTTTGGACTCTGCTGCCATTCATAAACTGTGCAAACTGCATGTTCCTAGTTTATGACTATTGTCTCTCAAGTGTCCTCTATTCACTGTCAGGTCATTCATAATTCTACAGTACCTATATATTTTATTGGTACATTCAGTCACTTTATTTGCCAAATTCTGTTTCAAAAATGGTACATGGTTTCAAAAATAAAGAAGTAATCATCTACTTCATAAAATAGTCCAAACAAAAATTTCATAGGTCAAATGCCTTAAATCTTACTGTTTTTTAAATTCTAAAATATCAGCCTTTGAAAAAGAAATAAACACTCATTAAATAAAGTAAACACGTTTTTCGTGTACTTGTTTATCATATAAGTCAGTTTTCAAAAATGTTTGAATTCCCCAGTTTCAGTTTTAAATGTCTACTGTACATACAGAAGCAAGCAAATGGTCTAAATAGCCTCTGCAAACTAAAAGAGGTATGATTAAGCAAAAAGATCCAAAATTATGGAAAACAGAAATCTGAAGTAAGCTTGAAGTAACAGTTAACGCTGCAGTCATCATTAGAAAACAACTAAATTGCAAAGAGCTTGTGTGTAATAAAATTGAAGAACCTTAACGAAGCGAGACAAAATGATAATTTATCGCATAGTGCCCAATAAATCAATGTGTTGCTATTTCTCAGACCTGTAAAACTGGTTTAGGTATTATTATAACCTCTATCAAGGATTAAAGGTCTGACTACAAAGAGAGAGCTTTCCGAAATTAACTTTGGGAACAGAACACCAACTAATGTCATCAGAGGTTTTCTTCTGTTTATGTAAGGGTCAGGACAAGTAATTGGATCCATTTCATCACATCTAAACTCGCTCTTTGTGTGACAGATAAAAATGAACATATTATCTCTGGATATTTTACTTCCACATTCAATTAAATCAAATGAAAACATTGTTTAAGTAGTTTACACAAAAGACTTTTTAGTTGGATGTTTTTTGCATGCATTAATGAATAATGAATCCACTGGGACTTATGGTGGGAGAAGAAAAGCAGTATCGTTTTAGCATGAAAGCATTAAAAAGCAAGGCCAAAAGTCCCTGTTTAGGCTACCCTGTTTATGAACACCCATAAAAAGGCAGCTGGGCTACAGAATTACTTTAACTTCCCGTTTCACAAGAATCTTCTTAGTCAAAGGAATCACACAGTCTAATGTAAAGCTTTCCCCCCCATCTCTCCAAAAATTCACTACACTTGAACCCCTTTAATTGGAAAATAGGCTACGCCAGATTATGGAATTTTCTGAACCATGGATGTTCATGTATACTTTCTGTTTGAAGGTGAAAATAAAAACATTTAGCAAAGTACTGAATTTTTATGTCACATGTAACATCGACAGCAATACGTAGGGGGTCTCAGAGCAAGGTAGAGTGCAGGAACACAGTGGGGGTGTAAATACAGAGTCTGGGAGGGAGGGAAGGAAGGAAGGAAGGAAGGAAGGAAGGAAGGAAGGAAGTTGCAGGAGTACTCTTAGGGTTGCCAGATGGTTTCAACAAAAATACCGGGCACACTTGACATTACATCACAATCTACATTACATCTTATTTAGAAAATACTGGAAATTTATATTTTCTCATTTATATTTTTTCAATTTGTTCCTGAACAGAAAGTTCAAATACTGGACTGTCTGGTTCAAAACCGGACACCTGGCAACCCTAGGTACTCTAGGGGTGGGAGTAGAGGGTCTGGGATGCAACGCTTACATGGCACCCCACTCCTGGGGACACACATGGCTCCACAACCTCTGCTGCTACCAGACACCCCTTCCCTTCTCTCCCCACCCGTCACTATGGGAGAAAAAATCCCCTGGAGAAACACTTCGCTGTGCTGCTGTTCCCCAGCTGGAGGGAGGGGAGCAGCAGCATGCAAAGCCACTTCCTCCTCACCCTCCCAGAGTCTCAACCACGGGCGTTTCCGGATGAGAGACACCTAGATTATGGAGGTTCAAATGTATCAAAGTACTGAAGTTGCCTACAAAGCACATCCAAATTCAAGGTGATCTGTAGTCAAACACCCTTTTTAACGGTGCACAGGACCATCTCAGACTGGGAATGGCCAGGAAAAGTTAAAGGATAGTAGGCTAAATGGCCTGTTATAGGATATCCTGGCTTCAAATCCTTACACAATATGAAAAAAAAAATTAGAAACCACAATCCTACGGACATAATGGAAATTCTAAAATAAGGAACCTGGAGAGATAAAACATTTTATTTTAAACAGAGTTCAGAGTAGTACTGAACAAACGTTCCGAAAAAAGGCCACTACATTTTGAGAGTAACTTGATGCAATTCTAGAACAGAAGGAGAAAGTGGGCAAGATGGGTGGGCTTTTAAATTCAGTGAAAACAAAGTTTAATGGGAAAAAGTCCTGTGTTTCCTGTTCCTAACCTTGCCTAATCTGTTATTGTGCTAGCCAACAAAATATCGTGGGTACACCAAATCTTTCTTAAGTATCTTCTCAGTGAAAATGGTAAAGACACAGTTATTAACGGCTGCTATATTTCTTTTGCTATTGCATTTCAATGCATAAAATGAAATATGGGAAGAGACTATTGTGCAATTTCAGATGTGACCAAAGCCAGGGAGTAACTGAACATCTGATGAGAGCTTGTTTTTGCAGAATTTCCAGTGCCCTGCGTGATAAAAAAGTTTATAAAATGTGTATAGTTGTCTAAATGTTGAGATACTTATTTGTACTACAGTCTCTAACATTTCCAAATTCATCCATCAGTCATCATAAAGGTTTTGTCAGGACAGTGTAGCAACAAAAACAATAAATTAAATAATGAAATCATGCATAAATGGTAAAGAGAAGGAAATAAAACAAATAGGTAAAATCAAAACAAAAACAGTAAAAAAAAATGCTAAAACAGCAGAAGGAAAATAGCTATTACATTAGAAAGGGATTATACATCTAATTGGATTTGTTTCATCTACACGAAAGGAAAAGGTCATATAGACTTTTTTAAAAATAGCTAGCAGCACATTTTGTCCTCTTGCTGTTTAACTGTATGATATGTAAAGAGCTAAAAAATGTTTAAAATAATCAGCTTTATATTCCACCATTGCTCTTCTTGTGCTTAGTCATAACAAAATAAAGGAATCTTTCCTAATATAACATCCAACAATACCTGCATAACAAATTCTCGGCGACGTGGCATCCCTCTCTCTGAAAGAAGAACATACTCTGGCTCCTTCTCCTTTTTGGCTTGTTGGATTTGAGCCAAGCGACTAATGGGGTTCATTCCTTGACCATATTCTGGTCCAGTCTAAAACAGGATTAAAAAAACCCAAGTTATTTCAACACATGCCAGCACAATAATTACACGGCATGTTCTTTTAATAAGATTTTTCCACAGTGTTCTCTTAGAGTGATACACTAGACAAGACAGCATGCCCAAATAAACAAACTGCATTGTCACTTGATCATGGGACCCAGTCTCAGGATCCTTAGACTGACCCTATGGCAAGTGCTGAGCATCTGAAGGCTGTCCACAACTGTGGAGAATGGGTTTTCTAAGACAGTGCTCACCAAACAGTCGATTGCTGGTCGATCTGGGGGACGTCCTCAGTCAATCACGATCTCTGCTGGTACAGAGGGCTGCCATTTAGGCAGACTTGCACCCTGCCTGCCCCGGTCACACGCTGCTCCTAGAAATGGCTAGTGAGGCCCCAGGGCGGGGGAGGGAGGGTTTCAGCATGCTGCTCCTGCCTTCAAGCACCACCCCTATAACTCCTATTGGCTATGAATGGGGAAATGTGACCATTGGGAGTTGAGGGGGTGGTGCTGGCAGAGAGGAGCAGCGTGCAGAACTACGTGCTCCCTTTCCTCCACCTTCAGGGTAGACTGGCTCCTTTCAGGAGCAACGTGAAGCCAGGGGAGGCTGGGAGCCTTAAACTTGCTGCACCGCCAACAGGAAGCTGCCTGTGATAAGTGCCACCCAATAGGAAACTTCACCCCAACCCTAATCCTGACGCCAGCACCTCATTCCCCCTCCTGATTCCCCAGTACTGAGCTTCCTCCCAGAGCCAGCAGCCCAAAACCTTTTCTGTATCCTAACTCTTTGCCCCAGACCAGATCCCCTCCCAGCACGCCACACCCTCTCCTACACCCCAAAACTATGATCCAGCCTAGAGTCCCCTCCTGCACCTCAACCCCTGTCCCAGGCTCAACCCAGAGCCCTCTCTGACACTGTGAATCCCTCAGCCCAGGCCAAGCCTGCACCTCTCCTAAACCCCAACACCCTTCCCCAGCCTGGTGAAACTGAGGGGAGGGCGAGTGAGAGAAGGATACAGATATAGTGAATGGGATGGGGATTAAGGGTGGGGTATATCCTGGGTTTCCCTTAAGTTCAAAAGATGATCTCAGGTGTAAAAAGCTTGTAGACCACTGGTCTAGGAACTGCAGTCTACCAATTCACACATCTGCTTTCATAGGTCAGAGGATCTGCAAGATAGCAGACTCATTGACCATTTTTCAGGCCCCTCCTTCCATGCCTTCTTTCCCTGCTCACAAAGGGGGCCACTATGAAGCTTTGCTCATGGTGCATTGGAGGCCGCAGAGTGCCCTTGCAAAGCCCATTTGCAATCCTCATGCAGGAACTACAACAGGTAAGCAGTAGTACAAGCCTTCCCCATCTCCTAGGACCTTCACCCAAACAGTATTTCCATTTAGTTATGCTAAAAATGACAAAGCAAGGAAGCTTTGAAGGTTAAAATTCTGCTTAGCTTTTCAAGCAATCCATCTAATGCTATTAATCCTCACAAACAGCCCGTAAGTGTTATTGTTGGTGTTAAAGTACTTTTCATTTAGTGCGGTAAATAAAGTGACAAAGAGATTGATTTGTCCAAGGTTGCATAATGAGCTGAGATTCAGATACTGGGGCCCTGAATGCTCTACCTTCTGAACCCACTTAATAAGCAATTATATGTAACAGACATGCTTATTTAAAGCAGACAACTATAAAAAATGAGTGTGTGTGTGTGTGTGTGTGAGAGAGAGAGAGAGATGGATGGATGTGGGGGGCAATTATTAATATAAAAAAAGTGTACCATGTACCAGAATACAGAAGAATTTATAACTGGATTACATATATATACTATTGTGCTATCATCTGAACTTCTCAAGTAAGAACAAACCAATTGTAAGGCATATAAAGGGAGGGCCAACAAGTGAAAGGAAGGAACAGAAGTGTATTGGAAGAATCTTCCAGATTATATCTACTAGAGGTGCTTGGGAATCTATAGGTGAAAGAATTAGGGCAAAGCCACGCATAAGGGCAGTTTCCATGACATCTGTGGGGGCAATGAGCCAGGCAGAGGCAAAATGAGGAGTGTGTTAAATAAAGCACAAGTGCAATTGTAAAAAATAGATTATCAATATTGGTGCTAAAATTAGGAATCAGCCTGTCAAATATCAAGAGACCAAGAATGTGATTCTGACACAATTTCTTGCCTACATATGTTTAAATAAAATAAACAGGTTAATTAAATGTAGTCATAAGTGTAGGCTGGTATTCTTCCAGCTGAAGATAAACAGACATCCACACCCATATTAAGTTTCTGTTCCTTTGTTCAGGGCTCTGTTTATTGTCTTCCCAAACAAAGCAAGACAAAGACCAAGAAAGGAACACTACCAATACACTAGTTACAGGTTTAGACTGTGCACCTCTGGTAGCTACCAGGTAGGGCCTTTTCCAATGCTGAGGGAGCGTGCTCTGCCTGCCTCCTGTTTTGTTTTGTTGAAAAGTATCCTCTCTCTTCCCTTTCCCTCCCCATCTTCATGGTTGAGCTCTCCTTTATATTTCAGCTGAGAGTGTGGGCCAAACATAAGTTACTGTATCAGCTGATCCCAACACCTGTCTGCTAGGCTTCTGGGATCAGCTCCTCCCTATCCCCATCCATCTCTAGGCTATTAAAGAGGCAAACTACCCTATTACAGTAAGGATGTAAATTCAGGGACTCACAAATCAGGTAAATCTTAATATTAAGGTTGTTTTGACCACACTGCAAATCATGTTAATGCCTGCATCTACACTGGCTAGCTAGCATCAGACTCATAATTTACCAACAGTGTTCACTAATAAACTCCATCAGAGATACCAAAGGTATAAGCAAAAGCACAGAAAAGTCCTATATAAACATGACATCTAATCCTGATCAGGTTAGACGACAAAATCATAAAGGAGCGTGTCTGGGCAGTACTTGCTGAAACGGGAGCACTAGTGCAAGAGCCACCTTAATTCTTGGAATTTCCTGGCATTCAGAAGCGTCACTTTGCAGCCTAATGTTGATAAATGCTAGTTTTTTGCATTTACATCCTGACGTAGCTATTTCAATATTAACTTTCTAGTGTAGACCAATCCTAACTAACTCAGGAATTGTCTACATTTAAAACATTAGAGTGACATAGGTGCTGTATCACTTCCCTCTAGACGCTACTGATGACAACAGGAAGGATTGCTCCCATCAGCATAGGTAATCGCCCTCCTTCAGAAGATCCAGCTACGTTGACTGAATAATTCTTTAATAAACCTAGTGCTGTCTGCATGAGGACTTAGGTCCGCTTTACTACACTACTCAGGAGTGTAGATTTTTCAAACCAAAGAATTATGGACAGAATTCTTTAAAATGGGAAAAGTACATTTTCTTACCGTGCTCACTAAACTCAGAAATATGAGCTGGAGAGATTTTTTTAAGTTATACAGAGGTATGCATGGATCTTTAGTACAAAAAAACAATATTCTGAAAATAAATTATTTGCACTTAATAGTTCTCTAGAGAGTGTGTTAAGGAAGTTAAATTTAGATTAATCAACTAATAGAATAGTCGATGCAATTTGCATCGACTATTCAATTAGTCCATAAGGGCACCTCCACCTTTGAAATGCTGGGTTTTCCTACATTTCAAAGGTGGAAGCACCGCGGGGACCACAGGCCTGCAGAGGACTAGTTTGCCTGAGTCCTCTGCTCGCCCGCTGCTCCCGCGGCACTTCTGCTTTTGAAATGTAGCAAGACCCCCAAGCTGTCAGTTCCCCACTGTGTCCCTGCCTCCGCCCCTACAGAGCTGGTTTTTAAGTCAGCTTCCCCCAGCACCAGCTCCTGCTCCCCACCTTGCTGCCTCCCTCGGATAGTTGACCAGTCGCTTACATGCCTAAAGTGTATCACTAAAGACAGCACTTATGATGCTGTATCTCTGCAGGCTTCAAGGCTCCTGTTTCCACATGTAATAGCAGGGGAATACTCTAGACAGAAAGGGCTTGATTCTCCATTACCATGTACAAAAGATAGCCATTTACGGCGTGCAAAATAGGTATGAAATGCTACTAATCAAAGTATCGTTTTGCACTCACTTTACATTGGTGTAAGTGATTACTCAGTGGAAAACCAGGTGCAAGGAGCTTAAATGCTTCCCCACACATGCTATCCTAAAAAATAAAATGGAATTTAGGCCACTGACAAATCCACTTTCTGGACTGAAATGCTGATACGTTAAACTGAGTATTTGTATGCTGCTAAGACTAATCAGTATTGTTTCATAAAGGTATGCAAAGAACTACACATGGCTGCCTTTGTTAGATGTGATGCAAGGCTGGTCACTCTAGCAAGTCCCATATTTCGATGGAATTTAGGATGAATGTACAAAACAGGACCAGTCAGTGCAGACTGGAGCTCATGAATCCTAGAAGCAGCAATAAATCCACTGTCACCAGGAATAAACACTCCATTTGGGAAACCTGAGCTCACAAGAATCTAGAGGCTCTAAAGGGAGCTTCATCCATGTAGTAAAAAGCCTATTAATATCCTATGACTCAAGAAACATTGTAATGGAAGGGCAGTTCAAATTCAACAAGCTCTTCATGGATTTGTCCACTAAAGGTTGAGAAAGAACTGAGCTATCTTTTATGTGGTTTTGAGAACTGAAAAGCGGGGGAGGGATATCTCAGTGGTTTGAGCATTGGCCTGCTAAACTCAGGCTGTGAGTTTAAGCCTTGAGGGGGCCACTTAGGGATCTTGGCCTAAATCTGTCAGGGACGGTACAGTAAAACTCCATTAGTCCGGCATCCAATGCTCCGGGACTCCTGATGGTCCGGCACCATCAGTAACCCGGAAGTGCTGGGGCAGCCGGACAGGCTTCCCCCATTCAGCTGCTGCTGAAACTGACCAGCAGCTGAATTGGGGAAG